TAATTATTTACAGATTTCACCAAAGCTAATCCTTTGCAACAGACTTTAAAAGAGAGCAAGTGATTTTTTTTTGAATGATACTTACAATATTATACTATTAAATGATCCCAATTTAGTTTTAAAGGCCTTCCATCTTTCACCCACACATAGATATGTGTAGATGTTCATATGTTCATCTTTTTCTATCATATTTAATCTTATACATACACACACCGCAAGATGTTTAAGGTGATTACATTTGAATGGTAGGCTTTTCTCTTTATTTTTTTTTTATTTAAAATTCTCTACAAAGTACAGTTATTATTTTTAGAAAGAAAAAAAGCCTACAAATGTTATTTTTTAAATGCATAGAAGAGAAACTGTCTAAAAAAGACTGGCCAGAGACCAATGGAAAACTGATGGTCCCCAGGAGATGAATCAGTGGAACCATAAGTGTTTCCTCGGGTCATTACAAAAGGGGGCTGTATGGGACTTATAAAAGTCTAATTGTTACTTTCAAACTCACTAAGTTTGTTAAGGTTACTAAGCTTAAGTAATTCCAAAGTAAACACATTATCCTTGGGTCTCCAATACTGTCTTCAGTTAAAGTCTGTTACACTGAGGTTCAGAAACATTAAGAGCATCCCTTACTGAAATTCTTGCTTGGGGACCCAGAATATAACCTTATACCACACTAGAAAAACAGGTTTCAGGATACCTAAGATAAATATAGTTAATGGCAGCTCCACTTCCTAGTCCATCATTCCACAGTATGATCCTATAGCAGTAAAGATGTGGTTCAGCCACTGAAATGTTTGCAAACAAGAGACCATGAGCGACTCTCCTTTAATCTCTATACTGTTCACTAGCATTAAGTTTTAGCAGTGAACCATCTCTGTATTGATGAGATGCAGGTCCAATTCAGTGATTATTGTCAGCATCTATCAGTTAGCAACCATCAGACTGCATCCCTGCAAAGCAAGCTAAGCAATAAGGCAAAACCTTACTAAACACATCTCCAAGGACAGTAATGTACCAATAAAGCAATGCCGAGAGCATTTTACATTTGCATAAGTTAGGAAATGAAACTCAAAAACTGCACGAAACAAATTCAACTCGACGTTGAGGCATAACAAAAGCAACACGGTTGTATCACAGGAGATCTCTGGTCCAGCTCCCAGAGTTCTTGCTAGAAACAACCAAGAAATCTGTTAATGCCTTTAAGGGTCATGGCAGAGGGCAGAACTTAAGGATGAGAGCGTTCCAGAGTACTGGGGACTTGTCTCCTGCCACCGCATCCACCCCCCACACACATACACTCACCCACAAGAGAACATAAGCACAAACCTGCTGAGATACAACATATAATCCCTCCACCCCGAACTGCCCACCAACTTAATCCTTACCCTAAGTTTTCACTCTTTAAAGTATTAAGGGAATTTTTTTCCTGTGTAAAAATATCTAACTTTATAATGAAAATCACTGAGAAAATGAGATCCATTGTGCAGCCAATTTTGCTGAAATATAACCATTCAGTAAAGTCAGGGGTCCCCAAAAGAGTTCTACAAATACACTGAGAAGGATTTTAAATGTGTTATCTGTGTTCTTTAAGTTACTTTATTTCCAAGAAGTCAATGTTACATAGTATTTCTTGACTAAATTGACTGTGCCAGTAAAATACAGGGAGAAGTATTACCTCTGGACCTAGTTTCCACCTCTAAGGAAAGCCTTTCCATTTTTACAGCTAACATGACAAAATCTACTTTTCAGCCAAACTTCCTCAACACAGCAGTTTAGATACTATTTCAAATACTATTAAATTTAATGGCAGGCCTAAATTCAGACTTCTCATTTCACTTTTGCACCTACTGGAAATTATTTCACTCAAAATAATTATGTCTTCAGACGATTTCCTATTTCCACTTAAAGTGGAAACAAATTAGAACACTTCAAATTCTATTTGCACTTCCCAAATACAGTAATGACTCATTTATCTGGCATCGGAAAATGAGGTTCTTCTCCATTTATCTGGAAAACGCTTAACGTGAAGTCCACAAGAGCACAGAGCTCATCTGCCTCGTTCCCTGCTATATCCCCAGGGCCTAGTACAGGGGCTGGCACAGAGTAGATGCTCAGTAACATTCACTAAATGTGTGATTAAATAAAGTACTAAAGCTTTTTACTTTCAACCACTTGATGAAAATTTTTCTACAGTTATAGCCATCCCTCTTTTTCTGTTTTTTAAAAACATAACACTGAACAGAAATTAAGCTTTTCTTATTAACTGCGGTATCACTATAAAGAGCAATCACTCTACCCCCCTACCATATACCCATAACACCCTCAAAGCTATTCAAATAACAGGGCTTTTTGCTGCCATATTTAAGTGGCCTCAACTTGCTATGTTTTTATAACTTTTCCTTTTCTGATATTAGGTGTCATTTCTGTTTGCAACTGCTGCCTTATTTTACACACAAATGTCTGGTAAGGTCCTGAAATTAATTCTACCTCCTAAGCAGAATAAAATACATGGACTTGGTTACAATTCAGAAGTCTTTCCCACTTACTTCTGACCTGCAACTACACTGATTCTATTTATTTAACAGACTCCTTGTACCACCCACAACATTCTACATAAAATCTGAGATGGTTCTACTAGTTTTAAATGAGTATCTTAAGGATTTTCGGTTAAGTTCTAAGTTTCAAATATTAATCAGGAGTAATGGCTCGAAGACTAGCTCCAATATAAACCTCGGGGCGTATTTTTTTAATCCATTTAGGAGACACCAACCACGACAAAGCTGGATTTCATCTTGCTTGATATGCTGTGATAGGGTCATAATTTAGATTCACTGTTCCAGAGTTCATGGCAGCAAAACTCAAACACACTGGCAGCCATGGTGTACTGTACTTGCACAGCAAGGCATATCTCCCTGAACCTAAGAGTGGAAGGATAATTTAAGTACAGCCTTTAGTTTATATAATACAACTGGAGTTCCTTCCCCACAACAAACTTTGAATAATGTTTATAATTTAGCAATCAACTGAAATGATGAAAGAATTACCACAATTGAAATAAAATATTTATGTATTTCAAACCAGGAGAATTGTGTCTTCAAAAACTAAAATAAGCTAAGACAAACCTAGTTCTGAATTAGGGAATGAATACAAATAAAATGGGGGATTTGTTTATTTGGGTTTTTGAGTCTCTTTTCTTCTTTTTAAAGACTTAATGAACTTTCATTTGAAATAAGCATAGTTTACTAAATTAAAGGATTTGATTACATGCTCTTTAAAAGTAACTAGTTGGGTAAACATTAAAGCAAGTTATCCAGGAGTCAAGAAAAGAAAAATTACTTCAGACTGTTTTATGAATATTCTTCCAAAATCACCAATCCTTCAGCAAAAATAGTTCAACAGAAGATTTCAGTTCCTGGTACTGAACTGAACAAAGAGAACCACATGTTTTTAATGGTTGCTCATAAACGACCCAAATAAATCTCCAAAAGAACAGGAGTGGTTCTCTCTGTATTTTTCCCTTCAAAACTCACAAGACCAATTCAACATAGAAATAAAAATTACTGTACTTTATGGCACCACTCACTTTGTGACACATTTATTTGCTGTCATGAAAGTTAGTGCCTCAACAAAGTAAATGAGATTTAGGAAAAAACTTTTTTTTTATATTTTAAATAGCACAAAATGTCCTTACCACTTGAGGAAGAAAGAGTTTACCCACCTCAAATGAGATTTTCAAACTAAGTGAGAGACCTAAGTATTTATGTATAAGTGTTACAGGAAGCTTTCCAAATAGCTTTCCAATCAATTATGATGCTGACCTTAGATCAGAATTACACTGCTAACTACCACTTATAAGGAATGAAGCCTACATAGCAGAAAATACAACTTAAGTTTAACCACTCATGTTCTTTTTTAGTTTCCCTGACTGTGAATTAAAGCACAGAGCAACAGCACACCCTGCTGGAAGTTAGTAACACAGCTAGAGTAACCAGCAGCACTGGATTGCTGAAATTTCACCCAAGATGAGAATTACTTCAGAAAGTCTGATTTCCCACTAAATGATAAAAGATGTGTCTATACATGTGATCTTAAAGGTAAAATCAAAAATGTTAATTTTAACAGGATATTGCTTTTTCCAGTTCATTTCCCTAGCCCCACACAGCCCCAAACACCCCTAAGTGATTTTACTATTTTTTTATTTTAACCCCAAATAAAAATATTTCCAAATCTACTTTCTGCAGAGAAACTGGTAATCACATAAGCGGAATCTGAGGCCACTTTGAGTGCCTGAAGCACTCCTTTCTCCTTCCCATCCCAAGATATCCTGGCCTCAGAAACATCCCTGAAGACCACCATTAAGAATTCACAAGGCAGCCTAGCGGTCTGTGAACCACAATTTACATACCATTGGCAAAATGCATACACAGATTCTGGAATTCAAAACATGCAGACTATATTAAGAAACCACATGCCATGAAACTCCCATCTAGTATGTTTCAACATTTTCATAGACATGAAAAAAATCACAGAAGCCATTGTCTGGATAATCCAGCTCAGTGCTCTCTCTGTAACAAACTGACAGGAATCCGAGGATGAGCAGAAAGGTACCAAAGTTCTGTAAGTGTGCCCTTCTGGCTACAGAAAGAAAGCTCCCTGGTACACTGAGAGCCCCCCTAGAGAAAACTACATTGCTCTCGTAGCACTGCTCTACACTCTTCTGAGTGACCAGTGTTCACTTCTTGGCTCTTTGCCCCCACATCTAAAAGGTTCTGATTGACCTGTGGTCAACTTGGAGGGCACTCTTCATCACAAAGGCCAGCAGCTCTGAAAACCCAATGAAGAAGGCCAAGGAAGATCAAACACTTCAGTGTAGTTTTTCCTCAAGAAATTCGAAAACAATTACCTTAGATCTATTTTTCTGAAGTTGTCTCCAGTGGTATTATCTGGTTCATTATTTCAATCAAAGTACATTTAAATTAGAATTTTAAAAGGATACCAACCTCAAGCCTCTTTTCCAGTGACTCAATTCTGTCCTTTTTGCTAGCTAGGTTGGCCCGTGTGTAGCGGCTCTGCCCAGGAAGATATAAAACTTGACTGTAGCATTCTTCCCACACCTGGTTATAAGCTTCACTTGAGAGTTCTCCGTGGCTCATACCTTGTTTTACCACTTCCATCTCCTGTACCAGAACATCCTGGGCCTGTTCACAATAATAATAACAATAAGCTTGAGTACTAGAGATACCTGCCATCAACAGAAATAAAAGACTAGTTTTTACTCCTCTGGGCAAAGACAATGAGCTCTGGTTAACTGTTTTTTTGGAAGGGGGTTATAATACCTAAGCAAAATTAATTAAGAAGCCTAGAAGTCAATGCAGGTTGATCTGAAAAGCCAAGCATCCATGTATCATCCCTGATAATGTAAACGTCCTTTGCCTTCACTCATTATAATAGCAGCTACCATTTCTCAGATACCTACTATGTGCCAGGAACTGAACTGAAAAGTTTTACCTACTTTATCTCCAAACAGCACACCACGCTTACAAAGCAGTCAACGTTAACCTCACTTTACAGCTGATGAAACTAAGGCTTAGCGAGGTTAAACCACTTGTTCAAAAATACAACACTAGTAACCGGACAAGGCAAGGTCACACCCAAGCCAATGCTTGGGCACCAACGCGTGCGGGTGCTCCTCCCACTCTACCATCCCCCGCTATACTCTGGACTTCCCAGTATGGTGAAGGGGAAGTAGGCGTTTTTTTGACACCTGCCTTTTTTCTCATCTGAAAGAATGCCCCTGCCATTGTCAGAGAATAAGACTGGAGGCACAAATCAAATCATGATGGATCACAGACCAGCTTCTGTTCACTAGAAAAGATACGGTTTAAGATGACAGAATGGGGATGGAGTTGGACAAGCCTGGGCTCCAATCACAGATTTAGCATTTAAGTAGCTATCTGAACTTGCTGAACTTCTGTGAGCCCATTTCTCATCTGTAGAGTGGAGATAATACCGAACATGTTTGTTATGAGAATTAAGTGACACAGTATACACAAAGAGCCAGCCCAACACCAGACACACAGACTCCATGAACATACCACATGAACTTTTTCCAGCCCTTTGCTTCATGGCTCATGAAAAACTGACAATTACTTTTTGTGCTTTATAGAAAGCTTTCAATCACTCCAGGAACATCAGAAAATAAACACAGGCCAAAATACATAAAGTCAAGATAAATAACCAGCATATGAAAAAATTTAAACAAAAAAATGGAAAATCAAGTCTCTAGAAGATAAAGAATGGATACTTTTAAACAATACCTCTTAGGGGAAATAATGGAAACAAACCAATTTTAACACACTTAATGAAAATCGGGCACTGTACCATCAGAGGAATGGTGTTTCACTCTGAAGCTGTACACAGTAAAAATTTACAAATTCAGCTCTTATAATAATTAGGAGAGAGTACAGCTAAGTTCTATTTAAACCATCCCTAAAGAATCTGCTAAGTAAACAGCTGCTTCAAATTCTTCGGAACAAAGAGGACTACAGATAGATAAATAAAATATGGGAGGATATTTAAACTACTGTGTAATCGTTTCAAATAATTCCAAAGCACTACTTACATTATTATCAAAATATTTATTAGAATTTGTCCCTTATAGAATCTCTATCAGCAACAACGTGATCTTTATTTCAGGTTTCCATATATACAATAAATTTAGGAAAATTTATTTCCTAAATTCCATCTTCCCCTCATATTTTCACTCTAAAAAGAGGAAACTGTTCAAGCATCAAGTTCATTGTCTAATTCTCACCCGGTTCAGTGACTGAATGTGCCTGCCAAAGTGCAGGCACTCAACAGAGGACAGCTTCCATGGCACTTACTAAAAGGCAGCAAGTCAAAATTACTCATGAATCAGGGGCAAACAAACACAAATCTAAACCCTCCTTCCTTTCTCTAACTTCTTTTTAAAAGTCCTATAATAAACATGTATCACGTATGCAATAAGAAAAAGAGAAAGTAAGACAAAGAGAGGACAGAGGGAAAGTGCAGGAGAGAAGACAGACAAAGGAACCTTACCGGTTTTCTCCCAAGTTAGCCCATTCTAATGGATGAGTCCATCTCTGCCCCTCAGGGCAAAAGAGTAAAGAAAAAAGACTTTTAAGCTAATGACCACTCTGCTTCCAACCATGAAACTAACTCTATTATCTTATGCCACTGTACAGATTTCTAGTCAAAATCACAGCTGTTTGCTCTGTCAAAGCAGAAAGAATAAAATGCATATGGAGGAAGAGGCAGGACAGACTTTAGACAAGAAAACATTTCTTTATTTCCTTATCCAAAAGGGTAGGGGGAAATCATGTCAGGGGAATGAATTCAGTGAATATTTCCTTTCTGTGAATAGGTGGAAGATTGAATCTGTAAATATTTTTAATATATTCTTGTTTTTTCATAGTATTCTAAATAAGTGAGGTTTAAGTATTAAAGGCATTCCACCCTATTCAGAGACAGCAGAGTTAAACACAGAAAATAGCAACTGTAGCAACTAGCAATCAGGCATACACCCATGAGACAAGAACACCAGTGCCATCAAAGCCAGTGTTTATCTGATAAAGGCCTGCCACTGAACACAGGAAGGGGTGGGGGGATGGTATGTCCTTTGCATAACACTTAATATGAATATTTATCTCTTAACCATATATTTCAGTTGCTTATGAACATCAATAAGGGAAAATGTTAATGTCTGTCCATGATACATGGTATCTAACAAATACTTAAGTCTTGAGACAGAAATATTCAATGATACCTTTTTCAGGTCTTCTTTGGAAAACTTTTCATAAGTGTTATGTTCCAGATAGGCAATGTGCTCTGCATTATTGGTACCAAATCCTATAGTTTTTCCTTTTTTATTTCCAGATGGTTCATAAGGGTGATGTAGAAGGTCATAATGAAGCATTGTGATCATTTCTTTTTTGATTAGTTCTTCACTTTTCTGTAAATCTGTCAGAGGTGGTTCTACATTTAAGGGTCTTAGAATAGTTTCATTTACCTAAAATTTTAAAACAAGTACAATTATTAAACATGTCACTGCAACATACTAATGTTATTAGTTCTACTAGCATGAATTAAATACAGGCACACCTTATTTTACTGGGCTTCGCTTTACTGTGATTTGCAGGCAGTGTGTTTTTTTACAAACTGTAAGGCTGTGGCAACCCTGCGTTGAGCAAGTCTATTGGCACCATTTGTCCAACAGCATTTGCTCATTTTGTGTCTGTGTCACATTTTGGTAATTCTTGCAATATTTCAAAATTTTCATTACTATTCTATTTGTTATGGTGAGCTGTGATCTTTAATGTTACTACTGGAAAAAGATTACGACTCAGGCTCAGAAACTTAGATGATAATTAGCATTTTTTAGCTATCAAGTAATTTTTAATTAAGTTACGTAGTTTTTTTTCAGACATACTACTACTACACACTTGACAGACTACAGTTTAGTGTAAACATAACTTTTACATGCACAAGGAAACCAAACAATTCGTGTGACTCGCTTTATTGCATGACATTCTCTTTACTACAGCGGCCTGGAACCAAACCTGCAATATCTCCGATGTATGCCTAAAGCAGTTTTACATTTTCAAAAGAAATTATTTTCCTTTATTCTTCAAAATTCTTATTTGGGGACTTCCCTGGTGGCTCAGTGGTTAAGAATCCGCCTGCCAATGTAGGGGACACGGGTTCGAGCCCTGGTCCAGGGAGATCCCACAGGCCACAGAGCAACTAAGCCCATGCACAACTCCTGAGCCTGTGCTCTAGAGCCTGCAAACCACAACTACTGAAGCCCGTGCACCTAGAGCCCATGCTCCGCAACAAGAGAAGCCACCACAATGAGAAGCCGGCGCACCACAACGAAGAGCAGCCCCCGCTCGCTGCAGCTAGAGAAAGCCCGCATGCAGCAGCGAAGAAACAACCAATGCAGCCAATCAGTCAATCAATCAATTTATTTTTAAAATTTGTATTTGTACCAGTGAAGCATTTCAAAGGTTGGATCTGGGAACTGCTTTACTATATTCCAGAAAGTAGATGAGATGTCTTTTTATAGACTTTATAATATAAAAAACATCAATCACATAAAAAGAAACTTAAAACTTCCTAAGCCAGAAATTCTAATACTTACTTCTGATGGTCTTGGCAGATCTTTCTGGACAGCTTTGTGCATTCGTTTCATTTCCTTTACACGCTCTGCATCTCGTATGGCCTAAAAAATTATTTTAAAAACCATTTTTGCAGCTATACAGTATTTGACACATTTCAGTAAAGCTGAAAACACTTCAGTCTATAAGAATATGTATGTTCAAGAGCTAAAGCTGTAGGAATCTGTGTTAAGTTTGTAGAAAGGCAAATAAGGCCACTAAAACTAATCAGCCTATTCATTCTCCTATTACAGTAGAAACTAAGAACTTCCAACGTCTGCCAGGAGCATTCTCCAGATTTACATGGCTCCCTCCGTCAGATAATCATTCTTTTCTTGCCCAAATCAAATCCTAAATGTAGAGGGGAGGCTTCCAATTATCCCTCCTGCAACACAACCTTTCCCTTCCACCTCAAAAGCTACTGATTTTTAATTTAAAAAGCCAGCCAATGAATGTGTTGTTTCCTGATTCTTAAATTATGAATAATGTGGGTTAACACATTAGAACTTCAAACCAGTTCTGAGAGTAAATGTAACTCAAAATAGCTAAGAGAACTAAACACATAAAGTATTATCATCTATTCCCCACCAAAAAGCACATTCATGTGGTTTCCCTCTAAAATGATTTCCATTGATGCCATTCTCACTCCAACCCTGGGAAATTATTCAGTTTCTAAAACCATCCTGAAATGGACTGCAGCAAGAATGTCTGAAGTGGGTCACATGATCTCAGTTTTAGTTCAAGTTTCACCAGTTTCCAGCCACAAGACCTGAGAAAGTTAACTTAATTCACCTGAGCCTGTTTCCTCATTTCTAAAACGAAGCTGACACCTATCCTACTTACATCACCTGGTTGTTATGCACAAATGAGAAAGTAATTAACTAGAAGATGTATTAGTACAAGGTGTTACTAATTTTATTCTGACCCAGGCTACATATCCAAAGCCACATTTTTTATTAGTTTACACTGATGAAAAACCATTTACTCAACCAATCCAAGATGTACTTGTTTTTAAGACTGATAATAACATCTTTTCTTGGCTAGAGTGAAAGCAATGTCTAAAAGACTACTTATACGTATTTTAAAGAAGCATAATGAATTTGACAGAGGATATTTAAATGGCTATCCATATAATTATACATTTTAAGAATACCTATCAAGATACCTAAGTATCTTGAAGTATTTAAGAATACCTACCAATATACTTAAGTATATTATGAACTATGTGAGTGAATATTATTAATGATGTAAGTAATTTTCTTCAGTGTAATTTTTTTTAATACTGAAAAGACTTTTAAGTAGAGATCTTGAGGCATGTAGCAGTCATCACCCACCTGCTTCCGTGCGTCCACATCGGCAGCATCTTCAATGTAAGTATCATCTATTTCACGGTCTTCCAGTTCCTTCTCGGCATTTTCTGGTAGAACAATTTCAAAGTCATTCTTAGGGGCAGGAAGGCCCAACAACCCTAAACGGAGGTGTTCACGAGATTCTCTTTCCTGTAGAAAAAAATTGGTCCTTCTCAATTCATACACATTAAAATATGCAACTAATATTGTGTAAGAGTTTCTAAAAAGTAATTAGCTTAATTTTAATTCTAGAAAAATGACCCCTAACTTCAGAGTTGAAACAAGATTTCGTTTAATTTCTATCTCCATTTCTTCCCTACCTTAAGACCAACCATAGGGCTTCCCTGGTGGCGCAGTGGTTAAGAATCCGCCTGCCAATGCAGGGGACACGGGTTCGAGCCCTGGTCTGGGAAGATCCCACATGCCACAGAGCAACTAAGCCCATGTGCCGCAACTACTGAGCCTGTGCTCTAGAGCCCACAAGCCACAGCTACTGAAACCCGTGCGCCTAGAGCCTGTGCTCTGCAACAAAAGAAGCCACTGCAATGAGAAGCCTGCGCACCACAATGAAGAGTAGCCCCTGCTAACCGCAACTAGAGAAAAGCCCGCGTGCAGTAACGAAGACCCCAGCCAAAATTAATTAATTAATTAATTAATTAAATTTATGGAAAAAAATGAAACCTTTAAAACAAAAAAAAGGACAACTCATAAACTTTGATTTGTGGTCAACAAATTTACTCTGGGATAATCTAACAGAAGGTTTGAGAATTATCTCTGAAGGAGCAAAAATAAATAAATAAAAGTCCTTTAGGATTTCCATTTAAGGATTTCTGAAATTTAACAGCAAATGAAAAGAACAAGTTCAAAGGTAAATTTGTCCTTGGACTAATAAAACCTAACCTGAAAAGATGCCTGAATTTGTGTGTGTGTTTCTTTTCCATGCAAATACTAGATAATATGAAAGCCAAAGAAAACAGTTCATACTTCCCAAGAGAAAGTGCCTGGTACCCAAGTTTTCCCCAGTCCATCCTCAGCTCACTTCTCTCATTCCCCACTGCTCCATTACACGTATGCTAGGTGGAAGGACCAGATGAGCTGCTATGACGCAAACATGCTTCAGGTTCACTCACGTTAATGGCCTCCATCTGGGACAGCCCCCAACCCTCCTCTGAGCATACCTCCTCAATGAAGGTTTTCCTAGTGCCCACCCAACAAATGTGATTATTTCTCTGGCCAGCCAAAGCATGTTGGTTTTCCTCAAAGGGCTTATTTTATTCATATATTATAATTATTTTTGGACCTGGTTTAGTACTGCCAATCTCTCCAGAGCATAAACTTCTTGAAGACGAAGGACATCTTTACTCAACTTTAGATTCCCTGAAGTGTCCACATCCGTGCTTTGCACACATTAGATTCTTCATTTGTTTAATTCTTATGTAGCCACTCAGAGTTGGCATTACCTGATATCAATTTGGGCACTAAAAAAAATTCTCAAATAACCAAATCTATACATGAAGGTAGAATTAATTTGTAAACCAGAAGCAGACCATCATTGGAACTCATTTTTTTAAAAAATCTCACAATGATCTTCTGTGGCATAAATAAGAAGGCTCAACAGTGACGTAATAAAAGCAATAACGAGCAGAAACAAAACTATAACTTGTATAATTAGCTTTATACATACAAAAGAAAACTTCACTAAGGTTAGCAACAAACATCAAATTAACGTGGCTTTGAGATCTAGACTGTCCTTCTAAAAGTGTAATGAAAACAGGAATCAATGTTCAAAATCTAATTTATGAGGCATTCGAAACTCAAAACATTTTACAGAACTAGGAAAAAAAATTAAATGTACCATTCAAGAAGGTAAAGTATTAATTAGTAAATGATAAAAATTAAAAATTACAAAAGATATAAGGAGCGTTACTATCAGCATAATCATTTCTGAAAAATATATTAAGAATAAGAAAAAGTAAGCAATAAGACCATAAGATTTCCCTTCTCAAACCCTACAAATCATGTTGCTTTTCTGGTGTCCGCAGGTGTACCGAATCTTAAGGTATATGCGATATGCACTGATAAGGGGAAAAATTTTAATTTGGTACCCATGAGATATTTTTTTAAAAACTTTTTTTAAAGAATACTAAAAGGGAATTGACATGTACCATCTGCTTCACATAAGAGGGATCACTGTAGTCTGCCATTCCATCCTCGGGATTAATGTTTAACTTGTCTCGAAGAGGCGTTCTACCCGGGGTGGAGTTAATAACTGGTTTGGGAGTTGTTCCACTCCGGGGAGTCAGGCCTTCAGATCCATGAGAAGGAGTTCTATAAAGACAGAAATTCCAATTAATGAAAGTGCCAATTTTATTGGGATTGTGCTTTCAGATGTTTTTCACATAAATTATTTTACAAGGAAAACAGAAAAGAAATAAAGATTCCAGAAATTCCATCTCCCTACCTGGTTTTTAGTTAGACCTCGAGGTTAAAATAAAGCTTTGGTTCAGCTAACTCAGTATTTACACAAAGTATATTTATCTTAATGACTTCAAATAAAGTCATTACATCTGATATTTTCTTACCTTATTAATAACTAGGTCCACCAAACATTTTTCAACCTTTTTTTTAAATAAATTTATTTATTTTTATTTATTTATTTTTGATTGCATTGGGTCTTCATTGCTGTGCGCGAGCTTCCTCTAGTTGCGGTGGCTTCTCTTGTTGTAGAGCAACGGGCTCTAGGCACGCAGGCTTCAGTAGTTCTGGCACATGGGCTCAGTAGTTGCGGCTCGTGGGCTCTAGAGCGCTGGCTCAGTAGTTGTGGCGCACGGGCTTAGTTGCTCTGCGGCTTGTGGGATCTTCCTGGACCAGGGATCGAATCCATGTCCCCTGCACTGGCAGGCGGATTCTTAACCACTGTGCCACCAGGGAAGTCCCACAACCTTTTCTTGACACATCAGGGTGGCTGAGAACACACAGTGGACAGACAGGTTGGCCACCACACTCAAGATCCCAAATGACTCCTTTCGAGTTCAGTATTTTCAACTTATCATTTGTCTCCTCCCTGCCTGTAGCTGTTGGCTATCACATCATCATCATCATAGATGTGCATACCTCAAGTACTTCCTTCCTCTACATTTTGTTTGGAAACCAAACACCAGGCTTTTAGAATCACATCTAAATATGAATAGCTCTGAGTTAGGGCTAAGAAACTCTCTAAGGAATAAAAGCCATAGACTTTGCACCTTACAGTTTAATTGTTCAAAGCCTTTTTTTTTTTTTGGTTGATTACTTCCTGTATCTTGGCTGTGTTCCAGACAGGTGGTGCTGCCAGAGTTGTTCCCAGAGGTGAGGTGAGGTGTTACCATATAACACATGGTCCCTGCCCTCAATGAGCTTACAATCTAGTTGAGAAATGAGACACCCATGGGGAAAAAGGGATTAGGCTCTCTTGCAAGCCTTGCAATTAAATATTATATAAGGTTTTGGGTGCCAATGTTTCTTGATCCTGCTGTTATGTGCAATTGTAACAGTCTTCAATACTTAACAACCGGTAGGAGGACATATTTTAAAATTAAAAGTAAACCCTAAATATTTCTAACCTTAAAAGCTCAAACTCCATTTTAATACAAATTGCTTCTATAATGTTTGTATCTTAAAAATTTTTCTTTAAAAATAGTAGCTTAAAACAAAAGAAGTATAAACAAATACTGAATTCTGAACTCCAGTTAACGATATACACAACTAGGAAGCGTTTAGGGTGAAATGGACGAATACCTGCAACTTGGAAATTATTAAAAATAAGATAGATTGATGGACGGATATGTGATTAAAGCAAACACTGTAAAATATTAACTGGAGAATTGGGTGGTGAGTATATGGATGCTTGCTTTACCATTCTTTCAATGTCTCTGAATGTTAGAAATTTTCATAATAAAATGTTGGGGGAAAAGCAACAGTAATACATACATAAAAAGGCTTAGAATTTTTATAAAATTCACCAAATCATCATTAACAATGGATTGATCTGCTCTTTTAAATCAGATTAAAAGTATTCAGAAACGAGGTGATAGCACCAGAAACTCTGAAAAAAAAAAAAAGAAGCTCCATTTGGTATTTGACTATTTCCTGGATACGATAATGTTATTTGCTACTATGAGGAGAAATTAAAAAGCAAGTTAAACACTTATTTCCATTCTCTGCCAGCATTTCTAAAGCAAACATGTTGTCCAAGTCCTCGGATTCAAGTTTTTCTAAAGCAGAAAACAGTTATTTATTTACAATACCTGAATGGGGTAGAAAGAACTGTGTTTGGAGTCTGTACAACCTGCCGCTGTGGAGTCACACCTGAGAAGTCGCTCTCGTGCAAAGGGGTGTTAAGTCCACCTTTTAATGGGGTGTCCACGTTGGTCAGAGCCATGAGGTTTTGGGCTTCCTGATTAACAAGAAGGTAAAGAAGCACGTTTTAACAGTTTAGACAGGAGAGCAAATTCCTCTCTTCTTGTCCTACTACACAAATCTTGAAACAGGCAGAATTCTTATACATTTTTCTCAATGAAAACCAAGAGAGAAAACAAATACTGAGCTGTGGCAGAATTCAATACTTCCATTCCTTCTGTCAACCTAACATTAGCATGCCAGAAGTTCTGGAATAGGGATACCCTGGTAGCAGTGATTAAGAATCTGCCTGCCAATGCAGGGGACACGGGTTCGAGCCCTGGCCCGGGAAGATCCCACATGCTGCAGAGCAACTAAGCCCATGCGCCACAACTACTGAGCCTGCGCCCTAGAGCCCACGAACCACAACTACTGAGCCCATGTGCCACAACTACTGAAGCCCGTGCACCTAGAGCCCATGCTCCACGACAAGAGAAGCCACCGCAATGAGAAGCCCATGCACCACCATGAAGAGTAGCCCCCCACTCGCTGCAACTAGAGAAAGCCCGCGCGCAGCAACGAAGACCAACGCAACAAATAAATAAATAAATAAGAATTCCCTAATAAATAAGTTATAGGGATGTAATGTATAACACAGGGAATACAGCCAATATTTTACAGCAACTTTATATGGAGTATAATCTATAAAAATATCAAATCACTATGTTGTACACCTGAAACCTATTCAATATTATAAGTCAGCTATACTTCAATAAATAAATAAATACATTTTAAAAGTAAAACAATTTAAAAAGAAATCTCCCCAATAAAACATCCCAGCCAGTTCAGCCCACAGGAAAGTCTGGAGTCAAGGGGCCCTACCCACACCCAAGGAGTGTCTAGTCAGCTTTTAATTGCCCTACCCTTATTCCCTAGACATAGGCAAAGAACAAGATCAAAAGATATTTGAGGGGCTTCCCTGGTGGTGCAGTGGTTGAGAGTCTGCCTGCCAGTGCAGGGGACACGGGTTCGAGCCCTGGTCTGGGAGGATCCCACATGCCGCGGAGCAACTGGGCCCGTGAGCCACAGCTGCTGAGCCTGCGCGTCTGGAGCCTGTGCTCCACAATTAGACATTTAAAAATTGAACACATTTAAAAAAGAGCTCTTAGAAATTAAAAATATGACAGTAGAAATTTTAAAAAAAGATAAAATTCAGAAAATCTCCTAGCAATGAAATCAAAGTCAATTAAGACAGAAAACCAGAGAGTAATAAGTAGCAAAATAAATTAATGAAAGGGAAGAAATTTTTTAATTTTCAAAATAACTTCCCAGAATTGAAGGCCATGAGTCTATAGAATTAAAAGACCCACCAAGTACCTAGCACAGTGGTTAAAAATAGACCCACATCAAGAAACACACATGTGAAAAAGAGAAGATCATATAAGCTTCCAGAGAAAGAAAAAACCAGGTTTCCTATTAACAACCTGAATGGCACAGGACGTATCAATAACAACAATGAAAGCCAGAAGACACTGGAGCACTGCCTTCAAAACTGTGAACAAAAACCCTTTCAATCTGGAATTCTATACCCTGTTGTACTATCAATCAGAAAAGAGGGTAGGAGAGTTATTTACAGATATTCAAGGTCTTAAAAATTCCATCTCCCATGAAACCTTCCTCAGAAAGCTACTGACAGATACACTTCACCAACAAGGGAGTCAACCAAAAAAGCCAGAGACATGGGAGCCAAGAAAGAGGAGACACAAGGGACTTTCTAGGGTGACAGTGAAGGGAAAGCAAGAGAACAAGCTGTAACAAGATCTAAAGAGTAATCAGTCCAGACTAGAACATTCAGAAGTTCTGGGAACGACTTCAAGTGTTGAAAAAGGTAAGAATACCTAAAATGTGACCAGATTACAGGAGATTTACAGTTAGTATAAAGTCCAGAACTGAATTTGTGCTAAGTAATCAGAAAATTTAGCAACTAAATAAAACAAGTATTAATTCAAAGAAAAACAAAATACTGTACAGTAGAGTAATTATAAGGCATTTTGTGGGTCAAGTGCAGTTTGACCCACAGTTTACGTAGTGAATGAATGCAGTTTACGTAGTCATAAGGTAAACCATAAATATGGAGCTAGCCAAAATTATGATTAACTATAATGGAAGATGGGAAAATGGAAAGCGTGTGTATGCACAGTAGAGGCAGAAGATGTGAGAGGGCCAGATGTTCAAATCCTTGGTGGAAAAATGCCTAAAACTGAAGAAAAACCAAAATGTAACAAGTGTCTTAGTAGTAAGGTGGTAAAAACAAAGAGCTATCACTGGTACCTCTAGAGAGCAAGCAATGAGGGGCACTGTTTTTCTTACAAAGTCTTGCAGGACTACTTGACTCCTGAATCAGTAGTCAAATTATATTTGACTATTAGAAAATTGAGATGTAAGAGTGCTAAAAGACTCAGTAGTATTCCGTTAGGTTTGTCTATTCTCTGGCATGCAGACACCCTAAAGAACACACAGGGCTTCCCTGGTGGCGCAGTGGTTGAGGTCCGCCTGCCGATGCAGGGGACACGGGTTCGTGCTCCAGTCTGGTAAGATCCCACATGCCGCGGAGCGGCTAGGCCCGTGAGCTATGGCTGCTGAGCCTGCACGTCCAGAGCCTGTGCTCCGCAATGGGAGAGGCCACAGTAGTGAGAGGCCCGCGTACCGCAAAAAAAAAAAAAAAAAAAAAAATAGAACACACAGAGCTGTACACCCTATGTGCTAAGGAGAGAGAGGGAAATAGTACTGAAGGCAGTCTATGCCAAGCTAAGTACAGAATCACAAGAAAGTTTTAAAAATTACTGACTACACGTGTTTGATTTTTTTTCCAGGGCTGCTAGGCAATGTGAAATTTTTAAATGCTATGCTTTACTGACAGGATTTAGCTTCCCTACTACAGAAATCTCTAGCAGCTATGCATTCAGGACTGTTTCAAACTGCTTACCCTAAAACACACAAAACCAAACCATTTATAGTGTTCTCCTTTATAATACTTTTAAGGATAATAAACAAAGTGAAAGGCTCACTCTACCATATGGCAGCCTACCTGCAGAATTCTGTCCTGGGAAGCTGGTGTTCGTGGTGTTCTCAAAGCGATGCTGTTGTTGGTGACATTGTACTCAGACAAGAGAGTACTGGAAGCCGAGTTTGTTATGCCAGATTCCTCAGCAGTCTGACGTGCAATTTCACTTGCTTGGCCTACTTTTACAACTTCCTGGAGTTCTGCATCTGAAATCTAAAGACACAGTTATCACAGTAGCAATATTTTAACCAAGAATAACACAGCTTAAAACTTCCACATTCCAGAAGATGAACTGCTGAAGCTGTGTGATGAGTGCACAGGGGCTCGCTGTAGCACTCTCTTTACTTTTTGTGGGTTTGAAAATTTCCATAATAAAGTTTTTTAAAGTCTTCCCTATTTAATGGGGGGGAGGGGGGCAGAATTCCATATGTGACATAGAATTAAGCTGCAAATACTGAAATTCCTTTTCAGTATTTCCATACTGAAATTCTTTCAAACCAAAATATTTATAAATCAAGAACATAAAATAATAGTGTTTATACAAAGCCATTTATCAATTAGGGGGAGGGTGGGCACTAAAAACCAATTAAAATATCACACAGAGTCCACAAAGCCACAAGATCCCTAAGAAAATCAAAAGGTGTTATCCTTGTAATTTTACCAAACTAAATATCCTAAGAACTAAAAAAAAATTACAGGCAAAATCTCAGTTTAAGAAATATAACTACTACGAATAACAGCATCTAACAAAATTATTTTATGTTTATGCCCAAGGATTTTGTACTGATGCAGCCAGGGCACTCATTTGCAGAAAGAAGCTGTTCAAGCCTCCTAAATCCATCCCTCTGCTCCATTTAACTGTCCAATTCTACAAAGCTGTACTCGTCAAAACAAAACAAGAGCTTATTCAAAATCCCCATGTTTCTGACCAACTATAATTCAAAGGAACAGAGCCTATGATGAGCTGAATGAATTTTCTCTTCTCCACAACTCCCATGTTGATTTTCACAGCTATTGTCTCAAAAAGAGAAGGAGGGGGCTTCCCTGGTGGCGCAGTGGTTGAGAGTCCGCCTGCCGATGCAGGGGACACGGGTTCATGCCTCGGTCCGGGAAGATCCCACGTGCCGCGGAGTGGCTGGGCCCATGAGCCATGGCCGCTGGGCCTGCGCGTCTGGAGCCTGTGCTCCGCAACGGGAGAGGGCGCAACAGTGAGAGGCCCGCGTACCGCAAAAAAAAAAAAAAAAAAAGAGAGAGAAGGAGGTGTGACACAACAAAACATTCCCTAAAAGAAAGTGGCCTGAAGTCCACAAGGCCAAATACCACCTTTATCAGCTACAAAAAAGAGGTCTGGAGCCCTAGCCTACTGAAAAATTGCTAAGAGCTGACAATTACTTACTAAACCATCATATGAGCAGTTCAAGGCCTGATGTTTCTTAAAGGTACCAAGCACCCAGCAAAAGCCTGGCACATAGGCCCGCAAACATTTGCTGGATAAATGGTAAGCATAGGAGTTCATACAATGAAAAACCTGCTTTTATCAGATTACCTGAGGGGCAGGTAGTACTAGTTTGCTTCTCTTTTTAGTAAATTCAGAAACACCACTAGTTTGAAGAATTGCTGACGGTAAATCAGATTCTTTTTTCCTTTTCAAATGCTGCTTGTCTTTTTTTCTATCTCGTCCTTCTTTTTCACTGTCACGGATCAAGGTGGAGAACAGATTTTTTAAAGTTACATATAGGCAGCAACATTAAACGCCATATAAATAGTCATATGCTCTGAACGAAATAATCCCATTCCTAATAAAATTATGACAAAAAAGACAAAACAATATACATTAAGTTGTTCCCTATACCATTACCTACCCACTATACTCAAGAGGAATGCAGACTTAGAATATCAATAGAATTACTAAGAAAATAAGATATACTAAGCAATTTAAGCACTAAATATTAAAACTATGTAACTATAGGGCTTCCCTGGTGGCGCAGTGGTTGGGAGTCCGCCTGCCGACGCAGGGGACACGGGTTCGTGCCCCGGTCCAGGGGGATCCCACATGCCACAGAGCGGCTGGGCCCATAAGCCATGGCCGCTGAGCCTGCGCGTCCGGAGCCTGTGCTCCGCAACGGGAGAGGCCACAACAGTGAGAGGCCCGCGTACCACAAAAAAAAAAAAAAAAAAAAAAAAAACTTATGTAGCTATAAAGACTATGATAAGCAAAATGTTACATATAACATGAAAAGAAAAACATAAAACTACTCCTATATTTGACTATGTTCACGTAAAAATATGTGTGTGCACATAGGAAAATGATGAAGTATACAAAAACGGAAACAATTAAATGAAGGGAACAGAATTAAAACGTGAGTTTTAAAGTTTTCCTTTAAAACTATTCTTCAATTGTTTGCTATGATTTTTTTTAATTCATAAATTTTTTTAAAGGATATCTAAATCCTGACAAATGACACCAGAAAGTTGTTAAGGTCTAAAGCCAGGCTCAAGGCCATCTTTTAAAGGACCAGGAAGGCCTTCTCCCCCTCTGCATGCCATCCTCTTCTTCCATCTAGTCTACTCCTTCCAAATGACTATTTTTTCTTCAATCTCTTTATTTGTAGAGGCTACCTAAAGCAAGATCCTAATTTGAAAAATAAATACAATGGAGTACATCCAAGAAAATCCTGTTTCACAGTGACTGACATCTGTTGTTTACTAACAATTCATGTCAACAGAAATGGAAGGCCATTGGGGGAGTACTAAAAATCTCTGACAATCCTAAAAGGTTCTCCCCACAACATTCAGATATAACAATTTAAAACCTCTAAAAATCCCTAGAAATAAACAAAATCCTCTATATTCTAAGATATTTTAAAAATATACCTACTAATCGCCATTAAGTGAAAAGATTTAAAAATGCATTGGTAATGTTTTTCCTTTTAATTTCATTTTAAAAAAAACAAGAGGGAATTCCCTGGCGGTCCAGTGGTTAGAACTCACCACTTTCACCGCCGGGGCCCAGGTGTGATCCCTGGTCAGGGAACTAAGATTCCACAAAGTCTCATGGCACAGGCAAAAAACCCCAGAAAAACAAGATAAAATTTTCACTAGAAAAAAAACTAAGAAGAAGCAGACCAGATTTTGACAGATTCCTTCAGGCCATTAGTAAAATAACTAACCTCTTCCCAAAGGTACATTTCGTAAATGTTAAGACTGTGATTCTGAGTAGACAGTTCACTAAGAGCCAAGCGCTGACATTTCAAGAGCTTCGAACAGCGTTCTGTGCTAAAAGCGTTACAGCCAGGGTCACTGGTTTTCTCAGAAAGGTGAATCCATTAAATAAGTAAAAGCATTATGTAAACCACATTGTGCTAACTAAGAAATATCTGGCTCTGACAAGGATAATACGTGGCCCTCCATAAAATTACTACTATACTTTTCCATTTATAAAAACAGAAAGGCAACTTACGATCTCAGCTCCCCATCAAGATCCTGTTGTCTTAACTTTCTGAAATCGGCATCAAGAGCCTGGTAGTTTTCCTCAGAAGTATCATAGAAACCAAGAGCAGGCTTTTTTTCAAATGGGATTTCAGCGTTATAATCAACTCCTCTCTTCTTTTTTCTTTTCTTCTGAATTTCTATGCCAGCTGCTCGAAGTTCTCTTCTCTTTTGGAGGGCAGCAAGACGCCTGAAGAAAGAGAACACAAATCACCTTCAAAATCATACACCATTGGGAAAGGATGGATCATCCATCAGAGTTAAGAAAACTACCCGGTCACTTGGGGAAGAAATATTTATTTAAATCCTCACTTCACACCGTTCACCAAAATCAATTCCAGTTTTGATTTAAAGGTACACACATACACTAGAGCAAAGAGAAAAGCCAGAAGGAACTGTAAGTAAATATGTATCCAATCTCTGGATGGGAATATACTCACTTAATATAAATTAAATAAAGGGTGAAAAAAACAATCAACAGCTTTGAATTTTAAAATTTATAACCCTGTAGCACCATTTTTTAAAAATAAAACAATATTAAAAGGCAAATAATAGGAAAAAATTTTGCACTTAGTATTAGGAATGGTTTGATATAAAGAATCTAAGCAAGTTTTTAAAAAACGTACCCAAGGAAAAGGAAGAACAAAAGGAAATAAACAGTTCACTAAGGGAAAAAAGTGCAAATAGCTAAAATGACAGAGTGTACTTTAATAATCAAAGAATCACAAATTAAATCAAGTACCATTTCTACATATCTAATCAACAGCCTTCAATTTTTGCTTTGTTTTAATGGCAAGGGTGCAAACAGTGGACACTCTCTCACAATGGTAATGAGAAAGTACAGTGGTATAGCTTTCCCCAAAGAGAATTTGGAAATACACATTAATACCCCTAACTTTTTTACATTTTTAACCCAGCAATTTCACTCTTCAGTCTTAGCCTAAGGAAATAAATAGGGACATGTACAAGGCCTTAACTACAAGACTGGTTACCAAGCACTGTTCAGAAAAGCAGATAAACAGACACAACCTAAACATCCAACAATAACAAATTAGTTAAAATAATTTATAACACAGCTATAAGATAAGATATTATATGGCCATCTAAATAACCTTTAAGAAATCTGTAGGGCCTTACCTTGTGGCACAGTGGTTAAGAATCCGCCTGCCAATGCAGGGGACACGGGTTCGAGCCCTGGCCTGGGAAGATCCCACATACCGCGGAGCAACTAAGCCCGTGTACCACAACTACTGAGCCTGCGCTCTAGAGCCCACGAGCCACAACTACTGAGCCCACGTACCACAACTACTGAAGCCCGCACGCCTAGAGCCCGTGCTCTGCAACAAGAAAAGCCACTGCAATGAGAAGCCCGCGCACCGCAACAAAGAGTAGCCCCCGCTCGCCGCAACTAGAGAAAGCCCACGTGCAGCAACGAAGACCCAAAGCAGCCAAAAATAATAAATAAATAGATATAGATAGATAAATAGAAAGAAATCTATAGCTAGATAGATAAATAGAAAGAAATCTGTAAATCTACTCTGACATGGAAAGATGCTCAAGACACATTGCTGTTTAAAACAATGTTACAAAGTTTACATGTTATGGAGCAACGTGTAAAATTATATGCATATCTATCAGTGAATACGTGCATGGGGAGATGTGAAGGATGTTCACCCGAACAGTAACAGTGATAATCATAGGAGGTTGGAATTTCATTTTTTACTTTTTCCTTTGTACTTTCCCAAGATGCTATAACGTTAATGATTCAATGATTAGAAAAGCTATTCAGAATATTAAAGAGGGGAAAAATCAAATTATAAAACAGTATATAGGAGCAATTTCACAAACCCACTCCCCAGCAAAACTGACAAAAATTATTAAAAAAAAAAAAAAAGTTAAGTCTCTGGAAGGGATCCTAAAGGAGATACAGCAAATGAAGAAATGTTTATTCAAGAAAATCTACAAAAATTCGATAAGAAAAGTGAGAGCCTGCAGTATTCAAATCAAGACCCACTCCCTCTTCTCTTCTCCCGTCCCAGCTCAGGGAGACAGAAACTCCACTCCACACTTGGTGCAGCCAAGAACACAGGGTTCTCTCTCCGCTCCAGCTCCCTGGCTTTCATTCCAGTAGGGGCAGGACAGCAGCATTTCTCATCCTGCCTCCAGGAAGCCACTGCAGAGGCTAAGTTCAGACAAGAGTGACTGAGAAGGAGGGGCTTCCTTCTTCTGCCCAGGGGCTCTACCTTGGGCACAGTGCTACTGAGAATACTGGAGCCCAACCTGGGCCTGTGGGATGAGGGTCAGGGTTAGGGGACCTGGGGCTGCTGCCTACCCCCACCCCCGACACTGAACACTCAGCTCCTAAAGTGGGTGTGTCACTCAACGACAAGTACATCAGCACCCCTGGATAGAACAGAGAATTCCAAACTCTCCCCAAAGAAACTGACTTCATTTGCAAAAGGAAATGGAGACGTTCAGGCCTCAGGGCACTCTCAAAAACAGTGGAAGTCTGGATGAAAGGCAACTGTGAAGAAACCGACAGATTCTTTGGAGATGCAGCTAAACTGCAGGCCCACTAGTTTGCCAGAGAGAATCAATCTCTTTGAAAAGTGGGAGAAGCCCTCCTGGGATGAGAACAACTACCAAACACTGACCTCAGAAACTATCCCTTCAAAGGAGCCGAAGTTTGATTGGAACACTTTGTGGAGCAATTTATGCCTCAAGCCATCGTTGAAAACAATACAGCAATAAACTGGCAATTAGTAGAGTTTAACAGCTGGGTGTAGCCAGGGAAGAAGATGTCAAAGAAAGTCCTGTCAAAACCACCTCATCCCTAGGCGACTGTGGGCACACCCAAGACTGTGTCCCCATGAGGAGCAACATCAGAAGCTTCACATTTCTGGGTGAGGAATGGGAGAACAGACTTCACTAAAATAATCCAGCTAGTCACTAAAGGAGTAAGTAAGCAAGCAACAGTAACAAGGCGTGGAGGGGGGCAACACAGTACCCAGAACTGCTACAATATATCATCCAAAGTGTCCAGTTCTTAACAAAAAAAGGTGAGACATGCAAAGAAACAGGAAAGCATGACCCACACCAGAAAATAAGCAGGCAACAGAAACTGCCTGTGAGAGCAACCAGATGTCAGCTTTGACAGACTTCAAAGGAGACATTACAAGTATGTTCAAAGAACAAAAGGTAAGCACGATTAAAGAAGGAAGGTAGGATGAAAATGTTCATCAAATAGAGAAGATTAACAAAAATAAATAATTAAAAAGAACCAAATGGGGCTTCCCTGATGGCGCAGTGGTTGAGAGTCCGCCTGCCGATGCAGGGGACACGGGTTCATGCCCCGGTCCGGGAGGATCCCACATGCCGCGGAGCGGCTGGGCCGGTAAGCCATGGCCACTGAGCCTGCGCGTCCGGAGCCTGTGCTCCGCAAAGGGAAAGCTGAGACGAAAACTTCACTAGAACAGATTCGAAGTAAAGAATTAGCCAAGATGAAGACAGATGGATAGAGATTATGCAATCCAAAGGAAAGGGGAAAAAAAAAAAAGAATGAAGAAATACGAACAGAGCCTCACAAAAAGGTGGAACACCATTAAGTGCACAACATATGCACAGTAGGAATATCAAAAGGAAAAAGGAGATGTTTTTCTAATGTTTCTAAAACATTAGAAAAAGGAGAACACTGGCTGAAAATTTCGCAAATTTATTGAAAATCATTAACCTACACATCCAGGAAGCTCAACGAACTGCAAGTAAGATAAACATTAAGAAATGCACAAACAGAAATATTATACTAAAAATGATGAAAGACAAGGAGAAAATCTTGTAAACAGAGAGAGAAAAACGATTCATCACTTACAAGGGAACCCCAGTAAGATTAACTTCTCATCAAAATAGTCTATACAGTATGATCTAATTTTACACAAATGTTACTGTATGTGTAGTACACATAAATGTATGTCTATATTGAGAAGAGAAAGGTTTGAAGGGACACATTTCATAAGTAATTTTATTCTTTAAATAAAACAAAGACTTCAAATGACATTAGAAAACCTTTACAATATAATGCTAAGTGAATATAACCAAGCTATATAGCATTGTATCAACCATGCCCCAAAAAGAAAATAGTACAATACTATATTTTGTAGGAAAAGTGTTATTACTTTTATAATCAATAAAAAGCTTTAAGTTATAAAACAGATCTGTAATTTAACATTTAAAGTAAATAATCCTGCAGTACATTCTCCATACACACCAATCTAGTTAATGACAAGATATACGCACAAGTTATAAAGATGTTCTACAAGAAAATCTACAAGAAAGTGTAGGGTAAATTTAAATCTGGAAAAATGTATTTGTTAAAGCAAGCAATACCAACCATACTTGGAGATTTTCATATATATATACCTGTCATATCCCTGGGCCAATCCACATGGTTAAAAGGCTCAAACAATTTTGGTCCCCAAACAACCATGGACAAAAATGGAAAAATGAGTTTTTTTACCTTACTCACATTACTTAACCCTAAATAGTATACGGAACAGAAAGGTGACTAAGACCCAGCAGAAAATTTAGAACCTCCTCTTAGCTTCTGTTTACTGTCCCAGGCCAGTCATACTCCCATCACAAGTAACTATTCTGGGCTAGTGGTTGTCCAGCTATGGCAAAAAGCATCCTCTGGCATAAAAGAATCCTCCATCCCAGGATCTGGCACTTCACAGCCATTACTGGGGAAACCATCAACACAATGCTAGTTATTAGGTCAGGAAGTATCAATACTTCCCAGCTTAGGGACCAAAAAAGGTAGTTGTGGAGGCTGGGGAGGCTATTCCAATGCCTGAATTCCAAAAGCTAATAAGCTCTTATAAAGTTCAAGTTTTCCCTTTAACCATTTCATCTGGGTTTCTAGGCCATTAGAAATGATGTCAACCATGGATCTAACCAAAAGGGAGGGGAAAGTAGAGAAAACCTTGAGCAGAGGGCAATACTTAATTCCACTCACTTTTTAAATACAAATTTCTATGACAGCCTAAAATGTGGTTCAAGGCTCATTAACTCCCTCCATGTTCAGCTGAGTCTCCTGTTTCACAGCCGTTGCCTGCCCAACGCTAATCAATGAGAGTAGCTAATTGGCAGTCACACCACAGTCCCAGAGCCCCGTGTGTCCTCCAGCCATCTGACGCCAAGATGGCTACAACAAATGAAGCTCCCCCATGCTAACAGTTCAAATCCAACACACCAAGACATACATGTATGTCTATACCCGGGCATTACTTCTGCCATGTTGGAATTAGACAACTCTAGTTATCATTCACCCAACAGGGTTGATAAATCACACAGTTTTACTGGGCCTAAGGATGCACAGACTAATTTGTTCAACTATAGATGGAAAACAACCATACCTTGCTTCTTCCAACTGTTTCTCCCTCGCTTTCCTCTTGGCTTTCTTTCCCTGAGTATTAGCCAGGCGGGCTCTAGCTTCAGAAAGCATCTCCAATTCATCTGCAAAAATAAAGAGAACAAAAACTAACTTCTCCAACAGAAGCAAGGTGAGAGACATACCCTACTGCTTAAGATGAGAAAACCCATCAATATCATCGTTATATGGTGCAGCATAAAGGAAACAGCTTGGGTTTTTAAGTCAAACCTAAGTTAAAAATCGTGCCACCACTGGACAGTCATGTGACTCTGGATAATAACGCTTCACCACGTATAAAATGGGAACAACAATTCCTACTTCACAGGGATGTTGAGAAGAACTAAGGGAAAAGAAATAGGTAAAGCATCTAGCAAATACTCATTAAACAGTGGCTATAATTATCATATCCTTCATTATCGTCAACTATCTGGCACAGCACGAATTGCGAAATATTGTAAAAACTACTGTTTAATTATAAGGGAACTGACAATCTTCATTATCATTTTTCCTTCATTTTTTTCCTCAGAACTATTTCTCTCCTCCAGTATATTTTCCATAGCTCCCCAGAGGAGAACAAATTTCATTACTGATACCTTAGAGCAATTCCTACGCAAGGGTGTCCAATGAAATCACAAGGGAACTTTAAAAAACAAAAAAACCCTCAGATTCCAGGATTACCCTCCATTCCCGCCCCCACCAACTTACTGACGCAGACCTCCTGGGGAAGCCCTGGTACCTTTATTTTTTAAAGTTTGCCATGTGACAGTGATGCAGCCAGCCTAGCCACAGTCTGCCTTTGGGAACAACTACCTTCAAACTTTTAAATTAAAAACTCAACAAATATTCACTGAATGCTTCAGGACAACCCTGTGAAGTAAGATAGATATTATTACTCTCCATCTGACAGGAAAGAGAACCAAAGTTCAGAGAGATTATATGACTCACCTAAAGTCAAATAGCTAATAAGTGGCAGACATGGCACTAAACTAGATTAAAATCTAGTTCCTCTGATTCCTGATTCAATGTCTCAAAAAGGCATCATAAGTCTCCCTCATGGTATTGTAGTGTTGCCCTTTCAAGAAGATCAAACTTCCTGTCTGAAGTCAAAAAAGTAGTTAGTAGGAGCACTGGATCCCCAAATCCTGACTTGTTGCCTCTCTCCTCAGAATAGAAATGAGAACACAGAATCCTCAAGAGCTTACCTCTAGCCACCAGGAAATGTCCAGTAATATCACACTGCTTAACTTACTAAATGAATCGAAACATCAAAAGATAAAGGGACATTATACAAAAAGAGCAATTACTCTATGACAGAAGGTTGGACACACTTGGAAAGATACTTAGAGTAACAACTACAGACAGAACTGCAATTTGAAAAAGTCAGAGGAGTTTAGAAAAGAACTAAGAGAGTTAAAAGAAGGCCTGAGAAGTCTATGGTTACCAAAGAAATAAAGTCCTCACAAAAATACACTTACCCTCATCCATATCAATCGGATCAGGCCGTGCTGGTTTTGTTTCTGGATTTGGATCTATTTCTCCAGGTTTAAGTTTTCGTGGATCATCTGTTGTTTCCTCTTCATTGTCTCTCTGGGCAGCTTTATCCCTAGGAATGAGCCCAGAGTAATCAGTCACACTACCACCCGTTTAGTCTTAGAAATACCAGGTTCCCTAGTGCTGGCACCCTTTTCTTTGAAAAACCCAACGGATGGGCATTAACAAAAATAAAGCATTTCTACTATTGCTTCACCTGAAAAGAGATGGTTTTAAATTTCTCTCTAATTTCAGTGTTTCCATTCACCATGAAACAGGATCCAAGCAGCTCCCTAAATCACAAATGCAGCAGAGCCACACAAAAAAACTTCTAGAGAAGAATCAAGATGTTCCAATGGTTAACTCTCAGCAGTATGACTATGGGTGATTTTTATTTGCTTTTTCACTATTTTTTTCCCAGATTTTCTATGATGAACATGTATGATTTGTATAACTTTTTTTTTTAGTATTTATTTATTTATTTGACTGCGCTGGGTCTTAGTTGGGGCACGCAGGATCTTCGTTGCAGCATGCGGGATCTTTCAGTTGCAGCATGTGGGCTCTCAATTGCAACATGCGGGATCTAGTTCCCTGACCAGGGATCAAACCCAGGCCCCCTACACTGGGAGCGTGGAGTTTTAACCACTGGACCACCAGGGAAGTCCCTGTATAATACTTTTTAATTATTTCTTTAAAAAGTATACAAAAGGAGACATAATCTTGATCAACCACACGAGACTTGGAATATACAATCCAATAGCTTTAGCTCCTCTGGCTTTATTCAGATCTGTAACTAATGTTTAAGGACAGAAAATGCTAAAAGTGTATTCAGCTTCATTCAGAAGATATACACACATTTTAATACTGCTTTTGGAGATTCACTTACAGAAGAAATTCATAGTGTTCCAAACACTGGGCAGCTGTTCTTCCAATGATTGGAGCAATGGTCCTCCACTGAGTTGGCATCAACTTGGCCAAGTGCAAGAGTTTTTCCTCTTCTTCTCTGGACCATTCCGTTTTCTTAATGCTGGGATCCAGCCACTCATACCTATTAAAAAGACATCATTTTATACCTTAATCAGTCACCCAGCATGAATATCCTCCTTACGTATTAGACATACTGGCTTCTAGTATCTGAAAAATGCAAGCTAACTCTCATCCTTCAATCACAAAAGCTGGTTTTTTTTTTAACAACAGAATATTCCCTATTTGGTTAAACTTACCCCATTCCAAATACCCTATCTCACTAAATTCTACTGTATCTTAATTATGCAAGGTTAGTAATGCTTAAGAAAGGTAACATGACTGAAACATGATCATATGCCTTCCTTCTCAACTACCAATTGTTTCCATTCATCTTACACTTTATTAGAGGTTTTGCATTTATAAATAAGACAAAACCACCTCATATTTTCAGTGTTTCTAGTTTTCATAGTACTTTCTGGTGCTTTGACTTGATTCTTACAACACCTTGGCTTACTTCTTTAAGCATTTGACTTACACTCACTAAATGCTTTTCAAAATTGTATTTGTTTGGTGAGTTTTTTAATTTAATAAAACTACTATGTCATCTCTGTCTTTCCTCATGCTCCACCTGACCCACCTTTTCTATCCAGTCTACTTAGCTGGATGAGAGGCCTGCAAACAATATATAAACCTTACCAAACAAAGTGGTAGGAGCTTAGCTCCACTAACAGAACCAGAAATCAGAGCCACTTATGCAGGCTGAGGACCATCTTCCTCTTTGTGGGCCAATCTCTACATTCTGATCCTTTCCCCTACCCAGGTGCCCAGGAAATTAGGTCACTCTTATACAATCCAAAATATGATCCTAGTACCACATGGGTCAGGGCTGGGGCCAGATCACTCATGCCAAAAATACATGTAAAGAACTTAATATGTCCACTACCCTGTGACTTAAAAGGGGGCACCACAGATGTAATGTTGGGTTATGTTATATTCTGGGGAAGCAAATATACAATGTTTCAACGATTCATGAGGAAACTCAACTACTGTAAGCTAGCCTAGAAAAGTAACCATTATTTATCATTTATTTCTTTGGGAAAGTAAGTTCAAAAACAATCCACTTAGAAACTTTTGGAATACAATCCATTTATAAGCTAGGGTCCATCTGTACCTAAAAGTCATTTTATTTCATGCTTCACAAAGCACTCTCAAACAACATTAACTCATTTGAGCCTCACATCTCCATCAGTTAGGGCCAAGTATTATCCCCAGTTGGGAGAAAATAGTGGTAGGAAAGAGGGGCTAGAAAATGGCTTGCCTAAGATCACATAGGAAGCAAATGACAGCTAATTCTTAAATCTAAATTCCCATCTCCCACTCCATACTTTGTTATATCACAATGCCTGCTTTCTTTGGTAAGGTTCAAAGAAATGACATTTCCCTCATCATAATTAAGGTCATTTTGTGTTTTCCACTCATTAACTGGTACATACCATCTGGCTTTGCACTGCTTTGCTGATTTTCTATGCAGCAGTGAGGCAATCCTAGACCACTGGTTTTTCCCATATTTCATTACCGCTGCCTTCAAAATTTCATCCTAAAAATTGTTGAAGAAAAACAGTGTATTCAATCACAAAACTCCAAGTGAGAAAAGACAAAATTAAAATTAACTCTAACAGAGCTGTGCTATGGAGAAAGAGAGATATCAACACACACATATATCCTAGATTTAAAAAGAAAGTACAAAACTTGATTACAATAATTTAAAAAAAGCAAGCCAGAATCAGTGAAATGCAAGAAATTAAGAACTCCCTTAGAGGGATTTCCCCAGTGGCGCAGTGGTTAGGAATCCACCTGCCAATGCAGGGGACACAGGTTCGAGCCCTGGTCTGGGAAGATACCACATGCCATGGAGCAACTAAGCCCGTGCACCACAACTACTTAGCCTGCGAGCCACAAATACTGAGCCCGTGTGCCACAACTACTGAAGCCCGTGCGCCTACAGCCCGTGCTCCGCAACAAGAGAAGCCACCGCAATGAGAAGCCACCGCAATAAGAAGCCCGCGCAATGCAACGAAGAGAAGCCCGCGCAATGCAACGAAGAGTAGCCCCCGCTCGCCGCAGCTAGAGAAAGCCCACGCACAGCAACGAAGACCCAATGCAGCCAAAATAAATTAATAAAATTAATTAATTTTAAAAAAAAGAACTCCCTTAGAAGGACATCCTACCCTCCCTTACACACAACCCCTTCCCTATCCCATCCAGTAATTGGGAATGGGTACAGTGTGTGGCTGTTATTCTCTTCAAAGGAATATGGCTCATTCATTTATTCATTCATTGAAAAAACATTCCCTGAACACCAACCTTGTACCAGGTCTTGTGTACTTAGGGAAAGAGAATCAAATAGGACACATCCAGCCCTCAAGAAGCAAGTCAAGACTCAGGTGAATCCAATCTCTAACCCAGGCTTCCTGCCTCCGGCTTACGAATAGCATTTTCTCTTCAGTCCCATAACCCCAACTCTGACCCAAGAATCCACATCTCAGGTCTAACCTAAGAATTAAGTATTTCCCCCGAAGTCACCGGCCAACTGTCTCCAGACTCCCCCAGCCTCTAGACACTATTTCACCAGGGCACCCATTGCAATATGGAATTCACCAATCCCAGGAGAGCCCGGCAAGCTAAATCACAGACACCAGGGATATTAGAGACATAGATGAATGCTCTTGGGGCATTTTACTTTTAGGCTTTTTTCCACATTGAACTAGAGCTACATGCCTCATACATGAGCCACTCCACACCGTATCATCACAGACTCAAAGACTGCAGGGCTTGGGCCACATCATAGGAATCCTGCTGTTACTCGATTTTTGTACATGTCTCTCCCACAGAAGTCGTCTCTTCAACTTAAACAGCCTGGTTCCCTCTGTTCAAGTTGAGGCAAGGTTCTCACTGACTTTATGTGTAACTTTGTTGCAGTACTGCTATACTTAATCACATCTTCAAGGAAGTATATACAACAATTATCTATCCTACTAGATCCATTCAGCAAACTTTCCCAAGCAAATTTTGTTTGGTACTGTCCTAGTTTCTAAAGATACCAAGATCTGGTCCTGCCCTCTTGCAGTGCTGTCTACTGAGGAAAAGAAATAGCAACTAGCACTTACTGCAAGATTACTATGTGACAGACCCTGTTCTAAATGTTCCAAATGTAGTGACTCATTTAGTCCCCAAGACAGGTAGGTATTATTATCATCCCCATTAGAAAACTGAGGCTCTGAGAGGTTAAGAAACCCTCCCAGCATCACAAAGAAGGATGTGATGCTTGCAAAAAGACAAAGCAAACTATAACAAGTGGATGAAAGAGTTGTCATGGGACCACTGGGGGTGCAACTACTCTTTACAGGATGAACAGGCAAAAATTCCAGAAGAGTTTCTGGACTGGTTTTTGAAGGAAGGTCAGAAAGATGCCAAGCAGTAGGAGGATATTCCAAGAAGGCATAAGATGTAAAATGACACAGAGCATGAAAAAATATGGTGTTCTCGGGAAACTGACAAATTCAGTGCACTATGAACACCAACTCCACTAAAACCTCGTTTCTATTTTCCTCATTTACTGTTCTCTGGCTCACCAATGGCATGATCCACTACATTTCTGGAAGAAAAGAGACTACTGAAGGCCTATCTGGCTTCTATCCAAGCTGAAGCGGAGTGACAGGAAGACACAGGCCTTGGGATCTGACGGGAGGGCGGACAAGTTATGCCTTGATCACAGATGACCGCAGGGATGCGGGCATAAACGGGCACTTTGAACCTGGCACTCAAACTGCTTCCCGTCTGCAAGGAAGTCAAGAAAAAAACAAAGTTGTCGCCACAGCACTTCTTCATTTTTGAATATCAGAGAGAGGCACGATGCCTGGGCTGAGGAACGGGGGTGCCCCAAAGACCGACTCTAGCGGTTATCCTAGCTCTCCCACCACAGTGAGTTCCACCAGGGCAGAGGGCGCGTCCTCAATTCAACAAATGTTCACTGAGGGCCTAACGAGTGCCCGGTAGGTAATCAAATGGTTAAATCACAGTCCCCGTCCTTCAGGTGCTCAGATAACGTAGGACCGGGCACAAGGTAAAGGCCCCGAGGGTCGGCCCCGCACCGCCCCCCACGCAGACCCCGCAAGCAACCTCCCCGCCTCCCCGACCTCCGCGCGCCTGCGCACCAGCAGCCGGAGGGGCGGAGGGCAGCGGACGGCGGGAAAAGGGAACTTACCTCAGTATTCCTCCACACGCCCCCCTTGATCATAATTCGAGGCATCTTGGCGGCGGGGTGTCTCGGCAAGCGGCCGAGTGGAGCTTCTGAGAAGTAGTAACGGCGCTGCCGCCACGGAACCCAAAGCCGTCACTTCCTCCGAGCACAACCTTCTGCTTTGAAGAGCTCTGCGCAGGCGCAAGGCGGGGTTTGGGGTTGGGGGAGAAGTATGAGTAGCAAGTCTCGCGAGAAATCGAGTGACTGAAAGGAAATAAGTGCTTTGCTGTTAAAGCTCTACTCTAGGAAGACTGACAGAAAGTCATCAAACCACTCTAAGCCAAAGCGCCCTACGCCGCACGCATGCCCAAAATAGATTGGAAGAAGCCATGGCTCTCGCGAGATATCGGCAGTGGCTCTTGGCAGAGAATGTAGTGCTGGGGTTGGTTGTGACGTCACCTGGTGGCAGAGAATAGGAACGTGGCGCGTGTAGAGTTTAAGCCCAGCTGGTCTAAAAAGAACTTTGTTGATTTATTAATTTAGCACTTTATCAGGCATTTAACTGATAGGAATTTATTCACAGAATACTCAGGAAAACGCAATAGCTTATTTAAGCCTAAATTTCCTAACCTGGAGGTAATAATAGTACCAACTTCGTAGGGTCGTCTTAAGGATTAAATGAGATCGTAAACCTAGCATAGTATCTGATACATAATAAGTGATCACAAAAGTGGCAACTGTTACTACAAGAAGCGAAACCCCAAGTGATCAGTGGTTGTCCCAGAAATCCACAGAAATGTCATGTCAGAGTTTTTCATTCATTGCTATTCAGTCTGTGGATTAATAGTAGAGAGTTACCATCGATAGGTACTGGTATTAGACAGACTCGGTCTGGGTTGAAATCTTGGCTCTCTCATCAGCTTGGGTAATAACCTTGCTGAATCTCAGCATCCTCATCTGAAAAGTGGAGTTAACAATTCATACCTCATAAATTTGAGGGACAAATTAGTTGAAAGATACCTAAAACCCAGTGAGGTAGGGATTGCCAAACTGCCATTCCACCTCCCCATTACTCACTTGGTCTCCTTCACCATTCAAAAACATCTCTTTGGAGCCAGCCCTGGAAGGCATGAAAATGCCTTTCTCTTTATAGTTCTTCATTTCTCCATTTGCCTCTTCTGAGAGAGTACAGAACTTTCCGGTTATATATATATATATATATATATTTATATATATATATATATTTTTATATATATATATATATATACTGTTTTTCCTTGAAATAGGAAATTGTAGCAATAAAATCACTAGTTTGTTGAGAGGACAGTGTTAGATTATGAAGAACACACAGATGTGTGTGTTCTGGTGACAAGCCATATTTTCTGTCTCTGGACGGAGGTCCAGAGATAATGCTTCTCTGTAGAATGTGTGACCATTACTTCCTGCCAACCCCACCCCCAACATGCACTCAGCTACAGTGGTTACAAGTGTCTCTCTCTCTGTCTCTCTCTGTCTCTCTCTCTCTCTCTCTCTCTCTCTCTCACACACACACACACACACACACACACACACACACACACACACACTGGCCATTTGATTGATCTGGTCAAAGTTGAACCAATTAAGTCTCCTCCCCAGGAATTTTGACACTGAAACCTAGAAGAAGCCAGTCTCTCTGCTGGCCAATGAATCTCTAACATGTGAAGCCCAGGAGTTGCCTGCCACCATGTTTTGTACAACGTAGACTAAGAAAGGAAGAAAGCAGGTCCCAGGTGCATTGAGAGGAGCAGAGAGGAGAGTACAGAAAGACAGAGATAGGTCTTGGCTGCACCACTGTCCCTGGATCCAATATGTTCCTCTGTCCTTGGTGCATCCCTGTCCTTGAGTTGTTGTTGTTTTTTTAATATTATTTTACAATCTACTGTTTTTTTAATTTTTTTAATTTATTTATTTATTTTTGGCTGCATTGGGTCTTCGTTGCTGCGCGCAGGCTTTCTCTCGTTGTGGGGAGCAGGGGCTACTCTTCATCGCGGTGCACAGGCTTCTCATTGCGGTGGCTTCTCTCGCTGCAGAGCATGGGCTCTAGAGCGCAGGCTCAGTAGTTGTGGCGCACGGGCTTAGTTGCTCTGTGGCATGTGGGATCTTCCTGGACCAGGGCTCGAACCTGTGTCCCCTGCATTGGCAGGAGGATTCTTAACCACTGTACCACCAGGGAAGCCTCCTGTCCTTGAGTTCCAATGATTAGTTCCCCTTTTGGCTTCAGTCAGTTGGAATTGGGTATCTGTTATTTGTAAGCCAGATTCCTAACACATCCAGAGTTGAACCGGTCCTCTCTGAAGAGCCATTTCAGATCTAACATTCCAAGAGCCCATGATGATGGCTTCTCCTTCCCACTCAGCACCACCTTTACACCCCCTCCATGTCACCTTTTCACCAAATAGAAAAAGTGCCCTTTCCTCAAGATACTTTATTGACACCTGCTGGAAAATTGTCACAAAATACTGATGTTTTGAGAACAAGGCACTTACTAGAAGAAAATTAGATCTCCCATGCCTATGATACAAATTGCACCCCCTTAGGGGCATGCGTTTTACAACCTGCCCATTAGGACAGAGCAGCCCTGTCAAAAGTCCCCCAAGGCACCCTTGAACACGCAGACTGCATGTCTAATCGAAATTCTAGTTTCCATCTTGTCCAGTTTTTTACCAACAAGAAACTGTGCAGGGGACTTCCCTGATGGTCCAGTGGTTAAGAATCCGCCTTCCAATGCAGGGAATGCGGGTTCGATCCCTAGTCGGGGAACTAAGATCCCACATGCCATGGGGCAACTAAGCCCACGCACTGCAACTACTGAGCCCGCACACTCTAAAGCCCGTGTGCCACAACTAGAGAGAAGCCCTTGTGCTGCAACTAAGACCTGACATGGCCAAATAAATAAATAAATAAAAAGAAACTGTGCAAGAAAGGGCTAAAGTTAGAGTCAAAAGCCTGTGACAACACCAAGGGATGGCGAGGAGCTGGGGCTAGCCACCCTCATCTTCATCATCTCCCCAAATAAGGACATGGAATTTAAGTAGAAATATTGCGCTGCTTTGCAAATACAATTTCAAGACAGGTCCTCCAGCCCTGCCCGCATCCACCAGATTGCCACCCATAAGGCCCTCTCCCATTTAGAAACTCCTCAGCTAGTGTTAGGAAAAACTAATATCTTGGTGTCCAGTTACTACAAAATGGAATTCCATGCACCCTAAATGCTGGTAATTCATACCATAATGCTAACCATGGTTAATCATCTAAATTGGCTTGAGTCTCACCTACTGATACTCCCTTGTGGTGAGTCCAGTTGTAGCTTGTAATTTTTTTTCTCAGGTACTCATCTTCATGGTTGTTATTTCTGGGGAGTCCCCTGTGCCCTGGGGTGGGGAAGTGTTCCCAAAGAGACTATGCTTATTGTCAGGCCCCAGAGATTCAAGAGTGTTTGTGAGCTCATTTCTCAGTTTAGGATCAATATTCCAATCAAGTCATTTACAACTAACCCTGCATCCACAGGGCACAGGCTTGGGATTTACATTTCTCACAGGAGACTTTTTTTTTCCACACTCATATACCAGACCCCAGACTCATAAGCCCAGTTGCATACTGGACAGTTCCGCTTGGGTGTGTCACAGGTTTCTCAAATTCATCTTCCAAAAATTGAGCCCTCAGGAATTCCCTGGCTGTCCAGTGGTTAGGACTCCACGCTTTCACTGCCCAGGGCCCAGGTTCAATCCCTGGTTGGGGAACTAAGATTCCACAAGCCTCGCAGTGCTGCCAAAAAAAAAAAAAAAAAAGAGCTCCCCCTAGAAAACCTATACTTCTCCAGCATTCCTTATTTCAAGGGATAGCACAGGACTGGCGTGTATGGTTGTGTAAAGGGTTCATTGCATAAGGGAAAAGTGGGGGCTGAAATCTAGCCTGCACATTGCTCACCAGGCAATGCGTCCACGGGACTGTGTCCACCAAGAGAGCATCTTTCTCTAGGTGTACGAAGCCACCACATGGGCTAGACACTATATGTTGCCCTGGCAACAGCACCACCATCCACCTATTGCCACTTTTCCTTCCCCCATAACTTCCTCCCACCCACATCCAAGTCATTCCAGAGTCTTGCCAATTTTATCTCCTAGGTAGCCCTCCAATCCATCTCCTTTGTCCACCTCTGCTGTAAGTTTCCAGATCGAGCAAATTAAAATACCAGTTAAATCCCAGTTAAATTTGAATTTCAAATAAACAGCAAGTGAATTTTAGTATAATTGTGACTCATGCATTCCTTTTGTCCTCCCTTTCCTAGAGAACCCTGGTTTTTCCTCCAGCCCACACTGCGCTCAGCCAATAGAACACATTTCTAGCCAGATGATAACTCCCATGCTCACACCATCACCACTGGAAGGTGCCCTCACACCCTCTCCGTACTTGGTAGAAACATACACATTTCCTCGGAAAACAAGCCATTGGGATTTTTGACTTCTTTTTTGATATGAGGCAGGGTCCCTCCATGTGCACGAAGAAATGTTTAATTTGTATGTATTTCTTACAAAGTCCAGGTTTGGGAGCCTCAGTGTTGACTCTTCAAGTCAGTAGTGGCCGCCCCATCCCCCAGGGAGGCTCAGGCCACAACCCCTCCTGGAGTTCCCCAGTGTTGGAAGGACAGAAGGCATCTCAAATGGGCTCCCAGTCCTTCCCCAGAGTCCACTGGGAACTTGGCCAGTAGATGTGCTAAATCAGGGTCAGAGCTCCTTACTGCAAGGGATGGGGGCTGTTCAGTGCGTTTCAGGCCCAGACAGGAAGAAAAGTCGCAGGGCATAAAGATGTGAGAGGGGCCAAGGCAGGGGGCAATGTGTGGCCAAACCAGCCAAGGGCAAGGCTGGTCAAGGGAGAGGGAATGAGTCCAAAGACCCAGTGGACGCGGCAGCCCTGGTCTCATCAGGGGCTGGGCAGAACCAAGTGGTGCCCTGCACTCAGATGGGCACTCCTAGATGTCCCAGATGTCAGCCCCGCACAGCTATCAGGTTCTCAGTGAACCACAAGATTACCCTTGACCTTAGGAGATACCTACTGAAGTATATAGGTATGTAGGAGTAAAGGGTTATGATGTCTGCCGCTCACTCTCAAATAATTGAGAAGGGACTTCCCTGGTGGCGCAGTGGTTAAGAATCCGCCTG